TGAATACCAGGTATAGTGACCTGGTGGGGAAGAAGATAGCTGAAAGAAACACTGATTGCCAACAATAACCATATTTTTGAAAGTATAATGCCATCATTCAATTTGTTATTAACACCATTTCCTAGTTTAAAAGTCATGCTTTTATTATAAAATATAATTTGAAAATATAAAAAGATTTCTCAAGTTTGATACTTAGTGAGAACTCAATTAAAATGATAGAACTTAAAAATTAAAGCAAATGTAGTTTAATGCAGTGCTATTAAAGTCTTTAAACTTGTGGGTTTGAAAAATATTTAAACAAAAAATACAGATAAATGCGAACGGGAGGTAATACTTCTGCTCATAATCGGCAGATTTTCCAAACATTGCGCGTTTAACTAAAATAAACGTGCAGCGCTGCCATTCGCTCTCGGGTACCATTAGACTCAAGCTATTCGGATGTCATTTGTGGTAGTTTATTTTAGTTAAACTGAAGAAGTAGGTTTACAAACATATAGTCCATTCAATTATCTTTCATTTGATACCTCATTTTGTCTTACAAGCCCAACAATAATATTTTTAATAGTTTTTTTTTTTAATCCCACCTGTCACTTCTGGTACCCAGGCACGTTTAGTCGTACCCAAAATAAAGACACAATTATTATTTTTTATTGTAAATGCATAACTGGCCATGACTTTTACCTCTAAAACATATTTCAATTTTATTTAGGAAATCGATAATTTTATATATATATATTTATTATTTTTTAAGATATATAGAAAACTTAAATTTATAGCAATCTGAGCCGTATATATATATTATTTTAATTAATGAGCAATGTATATGTATGACAAGTTTGTATTTAGTATTAAAATCTTACAAATATCTGTTAGAGTTGGTTTTCAAAATAATTTTTGTGTACGAAAATATTGAGCTCGAAAACGACTGAGTAGGTTTTTAATCAGTGACTAATCAAATTTAACAAGTGGCGTTGTTACTGAATTCTTGTAGATGGGTATCTTATGGATACTGCTTACAATTATTGTTTTAACAATAAATGGCGTGTCTTTTATCAACGCATACTACAATCCAGTTTTGGGACAAATGAGGATGGACCGACAAAATATAACCTTCACCTTCAACAGTAAATGGTGTGGAAGTGAAGAAAGTGTCAATGTACGTTTTTTTTTACAAATTAAAATATAATTTAGTTTTAGATTACGCTAATGATTCTGATTATGCTTACGCAATCAAGGTTAACCGGCAATCAATATTAATATTATTAACAGCTGCCATTTATGATTTTAAATATTAAAGTAACTGAGGGGTAACTGGTACGGTACTGGTACAATAATAACGATGTGGCTATTCGTACCCGGGTGCCAGAAGTGAGAGGTTGGGATTAAAAAAAACGATTTAAAATTTTATTGTTGGGTTTGTAAGACAAAATGAGGTATCAAATGAAAGATAATTGAATGGACTATATGTTTGTAAACTTAATTCTTCAGTTTAACTAAAATAAACTACCACAAATAACATCCGAATAGCACTGAGTAAAAATGGACCCAGACACGCAGCGCCGCCATTCGCATCTGGCTACCAACAGCTGCACTCAGATCTATTTCATTGGCTGGTTTCTGTTATTTTCTTGGTGTGTAGTGCAATACTCTGCATTATGAGTCAGCACTTAGCTCAGCCCTTCTTAATAACTTGTCACAATATATTCTACTAATTTTTTTTTTAAATTCTGAATGTAATATGTGGATCATTTTAATTTTAAATGCCACAGAACTCTCAGAGAGAAGATATTTTTTTTTATATTATCTTTTTTATTACATCAATGATTAATCACATTAAATTAAATGTTTAAAAATTATATATCATAAGGATCAATTATTTTAAATAAAGAAAATTAAAAGAATAGATTTTGAAAAATCTCTTAGATCATACCTGCCTTAATTTCTAAAGGAGGAAGGGCTATTCTACCTGTAGATTACCAATTCTATCCATAAATTTAATCATAATATAATGTTAAAAACATTTTTCTATGCCTTATGCATGATATTATGATAATATAACTTTTTCAGAATATTTTAGTTTATTGTAAATATTTCTTTAACAATAGACTCAATAGAAATTGTATCTTCCTTTTCTAAAAACATGTAAATTTCACAATAAAGTTAAGATTAAAAATTGAAATTTGGGTAGGTGTATAAAGATATTCACATTTTTCTTTATTTGGCTGCAACTTAATTATTTTCTTGCAGGTTGACTTATAGATACTTATAGCTTACATCATGTGTATGTTTGGTAAGTTGATATCATGTTCAAAATTTTTTTCAATCTTTATAGAATAATTTTTATTTTACAGACTCGCTGTTTCATTGAGCAAAAGTCAAGTGCTTTATGTCAAAAAGAGGTGAGTTGTATTGCATAGTCTCATCTCATTCAGTAGGAAAGATTTATAATTTGTAAAATGAATCATTTTATTTTTTATACTGTTAAGTCCAAGTCCCATTACTCAGTCCAAACAGATTCTTAACACAGCTTGAATTTAAGACCAGAGAAGAAAAAAAAGAGTTTTCTAATCATTTTATTTATAAACACTTGGCTCAAAATGGTCCTAAATTTAGATTTATTCATTATTTATTTTAGACCAAAAAAATTAAATCGTTGGAACTGAAGGACTACTTCAGTTTTTATGATACCAGTATAAAAAATACAATTTTAATTCAGGGTAATATAATCAATACTATGGGAGAAAAAATCCATTGAAATTAGTTTATAAAGATTAACAAGTCATATTTTAAATTTTTAATTATTTTAAAAGGGGGGGGGGGGGGGAATTAAAAGGTTGATATTTTAAAAGGAAAAATCACAGTGCTGTAAGTAGACCTATGTGTCTATGCCATCTAATTTATTATGTGCAGTGTGGATATTATGGATTATCACTATGCAGGTTTTTATTTTAAACTTAAAGAAAGAAAAATATTTCTTTGCTACCCAGGATCAGATTATTCTGTACCATACTTTCATTTTCATCAGTCATCTAATCTTTATACATCCCTTGACTATCACATGCTTTTTCTTGTCTACTTTAGATTTCATCCCAGTGTGGCCCGTGTGGGTTTCCAGCAGGCAAAAGTGTGACCTTTAACTCACTTAAATCAGGTCAGAAATAAACTGAAACATCCATGTTGAAATGTTTAAACCTTGGAAATTTAGACTTAATTGAGTTTTATAAATTTCTAACCTTTAGTTTTGGAACTCTGTTCTCAGAATTAAATGACTGATCCAAAGGTTCCAGGAATTCAAATAGTTTAAAATGTTAATGTGTGGATGATATTGATATAATAGGCCTATATATATTGTATAATATATTGAGAAATATTTTCATGAAAGACAATTCCAGGTTCCAGGAATTCAAATAGTTTAAAATTTTAATGTGTGGATGACATTGATAAAATAGGCCTATATATTGTATAATATATTGAGAATTATTTTCATGAAGGACAATTAAATGCATTTCCTAGTATTTAAATGAATAAATGTAGCAATTAAATAATAAATCATGTTAAAGTTTGTTTTAATGTTTTAATTATATAAGATAAACTAAACAATAGCAAGTGCTACAGTGACTATAATACCAGGTTTCAGACTGAAAAATAAATGAAAAATTTTATGATTTTTTTTTAAATTAATAAATATTTTAAAATTCTGATTTCTAATGCCTACAACTTTAGAGAAACATACAATTCTGCCTCAAATCCTTTATGAAGTTAAACATTGCACAGTCTTTATTAAACATTTGTGACATTGTTCAGTCTTAAAAGAGAATGAAATCCTTAATTTGAATTGCATCCTTAATTTTAATTACATTCTTAATTTAAATTGCATCCTACTTGAATAATATCCTTCATTTGAATAATATCCTTCATTTGAATAATATCCTTCATTTGAATAATAAATATTCATTTGAATTCACCCTTAATTTGAATTACATACTTACTTAAATTACATCCTTCATTTGAATTAAATCATTAAATCGAATTATGTCCTTACTTATATGCCTACCCTATATTTTTAATGACCTTTTACTTCTTTCAGTTCAAATTTAAATAAGTTTCGATGAAGTCATTTCATTCCTTCTTTAGATTTAACCTGCCCTAATGCTTTAACCTCTGGGGTTTACCGCAACCAGCCTGGAGGAATAATTCTTGTGTCCTTGCTGGGAAACAGCAACCAGCAGGCACCAATATGGACAATGTGTATGCGGCCCAGCCTCAACAAACCATCTCTGTCTGAAATTTTGCGAACACCATGTGTTGGAAGGTTTGTACTCAACTGACTTCATTTTGAATTTGATTATATAATTATCCAGTGTCTTGAAATGTAATGTATTTTTGTTTCAAACCAACTCCAGCAGAGGAATTGTTTTGAGCACTGTTGTGTGATAAGGTTTTTGTCAACTGAGATGTGTTATTTATCATATTATTTAATAATCACTTGTGGAGTGAGGTTTTACGGCACATGATGGCTGATTTTTGCGTTTGAGAAATAATTAGATTTCTTGTGTTTAAATTGTACACTTTTTAAAAATTTTCTCTTTCTAAGAATGGTCATCCATATGTTGAAAAATTAACTTGTGCAATGTTTTAAAACACTTTTCCATTTTTGGATCAATAAAAATAAATCTTATCTTAAATAGAATATATATTTTCAATTAGCTAATGTAGATGAATTTTTTTTTTTTTTTATTCTGCTTTCGTTTTCAATTTACAGTATATATTTTAAGGCGTTTGTTGGTCACTGAATGTGTGCTTTAAGTATATTTTAACTAGACTCAAGTCATTTATTTACAAGTTGAGAAAAGACTGCTGTTTGCTGTTTTGTTTGTATTCATTTACTTTAATAGTTTAACCCAAATGCTCTTCACAAATATGAATATTTTATGAAAGTGGTCCTATCATTTTTTTCTGCATTTGCTACTTACTGAAGACACTTTTATCACATCATGTTTACTGTGGCAAAAAGATTTGTCAGCACAAGATAAAGAAAAAGTTTTTCCAGAAAATTTTTAAAATTATAAAAATATTAAAAATATTTTCTCTTATTTATGTTAAAGTAAACACAAATTCAGCAACCTGTCATTAAATATTATTTCTAATTATAGTACACAACAAGTTTTCTAGCATAACATTCGTAACAGTCTTCTTCAAAATTGTGGCAGTGCTTTTGTCTACCCCTATCTCCTTTTGCCCATAAAGTTTCGATATTTATAATAGTAATAGGTGTACGATAACTGAGTTTAGAAAAATTCTTATGCTTTGCAGGATTTCAAGGGAAGATCAGAGATTTTTACAACTATAAGTAGATTTTTATGTGCTTGGCTATGTATTATGTGGATTATCCACTCTTAACTTAAACACTCACATTAAATTCAACCCCTTCCCCCACTCAGGAAACGACTTTTTAAAAAAAAAAAAATAGGCCCCCTCCCCATTTTTACACACCCAGTACTTTTCCTGTACCTCTAGGGCTAATTGGTTATTTGTTTTCGTAAAGCTTCTCTCATGTGACCCAATAGAGATCCATAATAGCTTTCTTTCCTCCTTTTGTAAACATTTAATTAAAATCATGTGTCCTCACACTCTCAAGCTGATCAAGTTTGTCAACAATTGCTGTGTAGGCCCAACATAGTAGAAATAGTTATGCTTACAACATAAGAGGCCTAAACACACACACACACAGACTCATGTACATATTAATTAATAACTGTTATTTCAATGTATGCTTTTTTTTCAGTGACTGTACTAAACAAGTAGTAGACTTCAGGGTGTGTGCACGTAACTCACCTACTCAAGAAATAACATCAGACTGCTTCAGCAAGTATAAAAGCTTTTATAGCGGTTACCAGAAATTGGTTTGAAAGAAATTTCGTTGACGGAAATTCTATCGAACGGAAGTTTGGTCGAATTTTTTTTTTCAGTTCACACGATCAAATTTTTTCAAATTTCTTTTTTAACGCACCATGTTATATAGTAAAACAAAATAATGTGTTCAAAAAAAAATGTTACGCAAAATTTTAATGTGTGAACTGAAAAAGTCTACAAAATTTATTCTTTTAAACAAATTTCCAGATACATTTTTTAGCAGTTATATTTAAGCTGTTTAAAGATTAGTATAATTACATCTCTATCTATCATTTTGCGGTTGGGATATTTTTAGGATGGGGAAAATAGTGTTGTTTCTTTTTTTTTTCAGTTTGCACAATCTTACCAGCAAACAATTCTTTTAGGGCTCTTGATTCTGCTTATTCTTAGAACTTCTTTATTCCTTACATGATCAAAGCACTTATGGCCAATATCTTTCTGAACTGTTCTTTGTGATGTCCGTCTTAGGATTATTTATTCTATTTGTGTTTAACTACCAGTGTTATAATTATAGTTTTCATAATTTGTGTAAACAAATATAAGTGAACAGCACAAATTATCTCTAACAAGTGTGCATATTGGTTCAATCTAGGCACACTCTGCAAGCTTATCCTGGCCACAAGGGAGTTCAGATTTATGTAGAGGAAACCTTTAGTTGTGGTCATTGTATAATTGAAGCATCAATCAAAGGATCAGGTACAGTACAAGTAAACCAAAGGAACTTCTAATTATATTATAATTATTTATTTTTTTTAAATTTAAAAAAACAAACATCTTATGAGAGATTGTTCTTTTATAATTCACAGATGAGACTTTTTAAGAGAGAAATTTAATTTTTAAAAACAATATACTACAGTACCAAAAGGTTTTTTTATTTTATTTTACAGCCTTTAGGCTAATGATCAATCCAATTTCAATAAAAATGGAAAAACAATTGTGTTACCCATACCATTCTTTCTGAATTACTCTAGCCATCGGCTGCTTCCCTGTTGTAATTGAACCTACAAGTTCTGAGTCCCAAAAAATCCAGAGGCGCTCCATTAATTCTCCCAATGAGACTTCAGCCGAAGATGATAATGATAATTCCACTGACAAGTCTTCAGCAGCACAAACAGTTAGTTCGACTTATTCAAAGGCCCTGAAAACTGATGAAGTGATTAGTGTCACAGAAATGACTGCTCTCAAAACTGATGGTATTACAAACTCAAAGACCAATGTGGCTAACCAAACAGAAGAGCTGCATACCCAAGATGGATCTGAATATCCCAAAACTAGCTCGGGCAATTATCAGAGTAAAGACGGTTCCAGAACAACCATTGAAAACTTTAAAATCACAACTGAAGACTTGAAGCTCAATAACTCAGAAATCCAAGGAGAGTCTGTGATCATCTTGAACAACTCGGATGTGCTGAATGTAGGTGTTTCAACAAATGACAGAGCATTCACTGAAGAAACAGCGGGTGGCACAGTGGGCTTTAATGTCAAGGAAACGAATGCTCACAAAACTGATCAAGTGACTGGTATAACAAACTCAAAGACCAATGTGGCTAACCAAACAGAAGAGCTGCACACCCAAGATGGATCTGAACATCCCAAAACTAGCTCGGGCAATTATCAGAGTAAAGACGGTTCCAGAACAACCATTGAAAACTTTAAAATCACAACTGAAGACTTGAAGCTCAATAACTCAGAAATCCAAGGAGAGTCTGTGATCATCTTGAACAACTCGGATGTGCTGAATGTAGGTGTTTCAACAAATGACAGAGCATTCACTGAAGAATTAGCGGGTGGCTTTAATGTCAAGGAGGAAACTGTTCACAATGGCACAGGTCAGGAGCTAGCATCAAAAAAGAGTGACAGCTCACTTATCTTAGAGGATGAGGCCATTTCAGGGACCAGCTTTGCTAAAGTTGACGCCAGCATCCCTAAGGCCTTGCCAAAGAGTGAAAAGTCTACCTCAAAATTGATGCTGCAGACTGCAGAAATTTCAACAGAGTTTCAGGGGAGCAGTGTGCAGACACTTACCTCAATGAGCTTTGAAGACGAGTGGAACATGCACGAGAAAGAAGCAGAGAAACATGAAATGGACATCCAAGCTAATCTTGGTAAGGCTCCATTTCTTACAGTTATTTTCTTGTTTGTAGCATTGCTAAAACATCAGCTTTTAAAAGCTCTTTCAATGAGCCTTTCTTTTCATGGTCATAAAAATTGTATAATAATAGATTTCATAGCAAACAAGCTGTAGTACTTTTGTCACAGTCCCAAAGGCATACGCAACTATACTATAGGTTTTAATCACACAATATTTATTAAGCAAATGGTTTTTGAAGAATAGTTACATAGACGAATGGCATTGAAATCTATTTTATTTACCAGGCAACTCTTCTTATGCTACAACTGAACCTGATCCTGCAGCAGAACCCGATCCCTTTTTGGAGGTAAATTCTATATATAAAACAAATTATTTTAAGACAGCAACTGAATGTAAAGTATGGTTTGTGAACTAAAATGCACCCTACAAGTTACAATTTTTTGAAGGAAATTGTTCACTTCCTAAACAGGAAGATGACATATCCCCTATAATAATACCTTCTGAATGTATAGTATCTTTAGTATGCATGTAACATTTTAAGAAATTATTGGCAACTAGAATAAGATAATGTGCTTGAAACTTTCATTTTATTTGGTTCAAAACAAAAAGATGTGTACTAACTGTTAGACAATTTTAACATTGCTTCATTTCATATCTGCAGCTCAGTGACAATACGCTGCCTCTGGCCAATGCACTATCTATGGCTACAAGTCCAGCCAGACTCACAGATGTGGTTTTCATGTGGTCTTGCTATGTTCTTGTTGTCTTAGTGACATTCTCTGCAAAAGGATTTTAAGCTGGGGTGCATGTGTTTGTGTCAAGATTTAAATATCTTACTTATTTATTTTGGCAAAAACGGTGAAATGTAATATAATTATCATCTTAATCATGGAATAAGAGCAATGATTACAATTTTAATTTTCTATATTTTTTTTTAGTTTATCAGGCATTGATAATGTTTTTTTTTTTCTTTTGTTGAGTCTTTCATAATTCAAATGATTCTAAATACTAACTGGCGTAGGCTAGGAAGATCCAAATTATATTTTTTGTACTGGTAAAAAAATATTCATATAGGTACTGGTGTTCAAATACCTAAAACATATTTATTTATAAACCTGTACCTTGTAAATTAATTTTTAATTTGCGTGACTGCCTCAGGTTTCCTCCAGATTTTTAACCATTGTACTTTACAGTCATGAAAAGTCAAATTTGGAGATATGAGGGCACATTATTTATGAAAGGACAGAATGCTTGAGTCAAAGTTATAAGAACTGTTCTTTGATATTATATATTAAAATCATGATATTTTTTATACATGGGCAAAAAACAAATATGAATCAGATAGCAATTTTTAGCTATTTTAATTCATGCTATGATTGAAATGAAATTATGTTTTATTAAGTTAGTGTTGATTTTTACAAAAATAATTTTTATTAATTACAAGTAAAACTTAACCGAGGAAGAGTATTTAAAGCATGAGCACTTATAATGAATTTCTAAGCAAGACACTATTTACAATTTATGAAAATTGATTTTAAAGTTTGTAGGAACCTACTTGTTATACAGTATCATTTAAATATTTTCTGAAATTAGATCTGAAACATTGTATGCTTCAAATATCAGAAATGTGTGCCTTCAAGTTAAATGAAATATGAAGTAGAAATAATTTTTTTTTTTCAAATAGTCTATATTTAAGAATATAAATATAACATTTTAATTAAGTAGTGTTAACGACCATTTTTTAAAACTGATTATTTGAACATTTCATAAAAATTAAATTCTTTTTTTTTAAAAATATGATCACCTAACAGAGTTGTATTGCTAGAGCTAAGCCAAGGCTGGTAATCAAGGACTAAATATAAATGTCTCCATGCTGCCCACCAACTCCTTTCCTTGTGATGGTGAGGTGACACTGGCTCTCCAAAGCAATAAACAATTTTTAAATATTTTTTAATTACATTTTAATTGCCTTTAAAGTTTTAAGGCAGAAGTTTACTTTTAAAATTGTTCTTATTAACTGAATTTTAAAATAAAAGTTAAGAAAACATTAATTGTCCCTTTTTTTTTTTTACTCTCTCCATTTTGTGAAGGCAACAATCAACAAAAAAATAGTAAGATTAACACCTGCTGTACATAAAAAGATAAAATTAATTTTAATTAAATGTAAATAATAATGTACATCGAGAGATCATCAATATTCTTATCATTCTTCAAAAAATATAATTTATGTATGGCAACCGGGTAAAATTAATATCACAATTGTGCAACCTGTTAACCAAGACTACTTGCTACGAAAATATTTTTATATAACTTTTCAAAAATTATTCAGTGATAATCAATAATACGCTTCAACAATCTCTCCTTCCATCAATTCGCTATCCTTCATACACCACCTGTAATAACATAAATATCCTGGGAGGGGCTTGAGCTCTCGCTATCACTTTGGCAACATGCTCCTTCAGTTTGTTCATGCCATACATTTTATCTGCATAGGACTTGCATACTTTTCTTCACCTGTTCAAGTTTGGGTAAACAGGTGTGCAATTGTTTCAAAGCCAGCAGGTCGGGTCCCTGTTTTCAAGCAGTGGGAGCAGGTCAGTGTTCTTTTCAGGTCTGGATCACCAGACTCTGGTGTTATGTCGGAGAACCAGTTCCCAACATGGATCAGACTTGCTGGGGTAGGACATGTTAGCGTGTGCACCACTGGCCCCCATATGTCTGAATTTACCATAAAATCAATTTACACATCCCCGCTTTCTTAGAATAACACTAAATAAATCACATGTTCACTAAAATGCATAAACTTATCTCATTTCCTTCACTCATACAATGCTTTACAATTAAATATAATTACAATTCATATGCTGGCATATAACTTTTACTTCACATCTCCTATACTCTTGTAATAATAAATACACCTCAATATCAGTATCACCTACAATTTCAAAAAGGAATACACCTTACATTCTTGACTTCTTTCTTAGTACACATCAAACTCATTCTTTTATCATACACCACACATTGTCATGATTACCAGAAGAATGCATCGGGAAACAAATTGACTTTGCACAACACAATATTTACATCATGGAGATTTTAGTCATCTTGGTTTGTGTTGAAGAAGCCATTATTAACAAAATACCAAGGTAAAATAAATAGTCTTACATAAATTCATAAATGAAATCCATTTCAAAAGTCAGTCAGTTTACAACCTCTTTATTATGTTCACTGCCATGGTCTAGAAATAACAATTATAATAATAATATTTATAAATAAACATAGATTTCCATAGGAAACTTATTGTTTAATAACATGGTATTAGGTATTGCTATTACTATTAACGTACAATTAGTTCAATAAGTATGCTGACTAAAAGTTACACTGCACCACATTTTGCAGAAAAAAAGCTTTAGTCATGGAATGAATCAGGAAACAAAAATTCAAGATATAAAATACACATTTTTATTAAAATAAAATAGACTAGATCTAATTCTTAGATCATTATAAAAAATATTTTGCAGGCAGTAGAGACTCCACAGATATGAATTGATATTAAGCAGGAAGTTTTTCCTCATTTATAAAAAACCTAAAGGGCACTAATTCCCGACTGTTATTAACATATCTGAGAAATTGACTTTTAAGTTATGAAATAAATATTTATAATCTGTGAAAATCATAGTAAAAAAGCCTACTTGTCCTAATAAAGCTAACTGTCAATGTTTACTTTAAAAATAGTCACAATGCCAAAGATGGGGGGGGGAGATAAAAAAAAGTGAAATATATTTTTTAAACAGTTTGCTGTAGCTGTTTATTTGCCTTGTATGTCATAATTGAATTAACTGTCTATAAATATAATGAAACAGGTTGGGGGGGGGGGGGGGGGAGGGGAGATTGACAAACTCATTTTTAAAAGCCTACTTGTCCTAATAAAGCTAACTGTCAATGTTTACTTTAAAAATAGTCACAATGCCAAAGATGGGGGGGGGAAATAAAAAAAAGTGAAATATATTTTTTAAACAGTTTGCTGTAGCTGTTTATTTGCCTTGTATGTCATAATTGAATTAACTGTCTATAAATATAATGAAACAGGTTGGGGGGGGGGAGGGGGGAGAGGAGATTGACAAACTCATTTTTACATGTGTACACATCAATGGAGGGGGTCCAAAACATGGCGGGGGGAGGGTGGTTGAAAATATGACATTTTTTAAATATTTATTATATGTATCACCCCTAGTCAAACAATTCATAGGGACTGTAGAGTGTAGGGATGGTTGGGGAACCCTTCTCTAGTACACATCAATTAAGAGAATGAGCACCATAATTATGACAACCAACCCTGTCCAGATTAATAATCAAATCAGATTGCCTGTGCGCTAAAGAGCATGAGCAATTTCAATTAAATTTGAAGAGTAAGATTTTTGGTTTGTTACACTAAAAATAGATTTGATGTGCAGTTGCAGGCACCAATGGAGATTTGAATGCTTATAAACAACAAAAGACACATTTTAAATCATTCATTGGTGGCCGGTTCTAAAAGCTCTACATCACATGCACTATTTGGGACCTGCATGAAATGCTGCTATAAGTATAAGTGCCAGACACTTCCATCATTTGGATCTGAAACATACCATCCATTTGTTGTTGCTCAGCCGTAACTAGCACATGTTTGAATTTGATACAATTGTGGGCTCTGATTTATGCAAGTAATAAATAACTAGTCTTAGCCAAGAGCAAATGGAATGCGGTATTTAGGGCCAAACTTAGGATTTTATACTTAAGTAATCAGTGAGTAATAGCTTTTCTTACAGCTTAATTTATGCTTAAGTAATCAGTAATAGCTTTTCTTACAGCTTATTTTATGCTTAATTAATCAGTGAGCAATAGCTTTTCTTACAACCACCGTATGCAAATGTAACCCACATACATCAGAGGTACATGTTCCGAGGTTAATAAGTAAGTCTACCACTTATAAAGTGAAGCAGTCTTCCAAGGGCGGCGTATCCTGAATTTAAGTGGATGTAAATGTCCATCAATGCATTTATGGTCGGTTCTTGCACCACAGCAGACACGCTGTAGCTCATTAATTGTTGTATCGCATTTTGATATTTTAAATTAACATTTTTGCCCATCACTTTTTAAAAAGCTGTGCATCGCAATCCTCATCGCTGCTGTCATTGCTATCACTCCTATTTTCACCACCACAACTTTCATGCAACACTAAAGTACCTTCCTCATTAACCACATGCTTAGCTTCCAGTATGTTGACTTCAGTCTGAGTACACTGATGACTTATGACCGGCTGTTGTATTTCTTGAGGGATGTCAAGGGAGGGTGGCATGCTGGTATAACTAGAGTCAACTGAAGCCGTCGATCTTATCCGGCCCTGGTTGCCAGGTTGGCGATGGTTTTCAGCTACCACTATCTGACTACCACCTGTAGCAACACAATTTGCATTCATGATGTTGCAAAGAACTGGGCCACTTATGTGAACTTGATCAGCTGAATTTATGTATCTGAAATGTAGATGTATAAAAAAGCAGCTGAATATTAATTGTAATTAATTAAAACAGTTTTAATTTCAATAAAATTTGATTTTTTTCTTTACCACATGGGGACCTGATACCAAATATTCATGCGCTCTTTTGGCCTTAAGCTTTTCACCTTGATGTTTTAAAATAAAATTTTTAAGTTATGCTTATGCCAAGAAAAAATAAAATTAAATCAATCTCTACAGATTTAACGGAATAAAAATTTTAGTCGCATGGAAATTTTCAAAAGCTTTTTGTGTGATTGTGCACTTGTACTTCGTCTTAAAATTGAGAAAGTTTAGCAATTTCAAAAAATAGCTTATGTACACTTTTTCATTATATGGTCATAATTATACTCTTTCCGTCTCATTGAAAAGGTCTTTACAGGTATATTTTTAATATAAACAATGATAGTAGGCACAGCTGTTTAGATTCCTTCCACAACATACACAGCCTACTAATGACTAAGTTTGACATATTTTTTTACAGCACACTCACATAGTTATGAGCATTGCAGCTGTAACCAATTTCCATGCTGGTGCTTTTCCAGCTAAACTCGTCTCAATGGTGCAGTTAGCAAAAAGAGTTATCTGGATCCAACAGCCATGAATAATATATTTATGTGTGTAAATGGAGCTATAATAATGAATTGCCACTTAAAGTGTTATGGTGTAGTTCAATTAGCATCTGTTGTGAACCAATGTTAATCTTATAGTCTACCACCAGTAGCATCATACATACACCCTTGACAACACAAACATTGACCACAAGAGAAAAGTCTGGTTTTCAAATTACTAGCATTTATTTAATTTAAACCATATATGTAAGACAACAAATACTTTTACATTGTTTAGATTCAGCCCCTCCCACCCCTCCCCCACCCACACACACAAACCATGGTTATATTTATATTCTACTGTGGTTGAATTTTTTTTTTAACAGAAGACTGACTACTAGGCATACAGTAGTTAAAAATTGTTTTACTTACATTACAGGCTGTGGTGATTTTAAGACAGACCATAAATGTAGTGCCATAGCTGCAAAAATATGTGTGTTTATCAGTGACGACTGGACGTCACTAAGCAGTGACGACTGGACGTCACTGTCTCTGTGAGAAGTAACAGCTGCTGAGG